TTTAGGAGACTTCTTGGTTTGTCTCAAGAGACTTACATTAAGACTATCCTAGAGCGATTCCAGATGTAGAGCTGCAAACCCATTGACACTCCTGTTGCAAAAGGCGAGAGCCTAAGCCTTGATATGGGTCCTAAGACTCAAGAAGAGAGTGAAAAGATGGCCCGTGTTCCCTATGCAAATGCTGTTGGAAGCTTGATGTATGCTATGATTTGTACGCGTCCTGACATTTGTTATGCGGTCGGATTGGTGAGTCGTTACCAATCCAACCCAGGACCAGCTCATTGGAAAACAGTTAAGAGGATATTACGATATCTTAGAGGGACTGCAGATTACACACTTTGCTACCAGAGTTCAGATCTACATCTAGTTGGCTATTGTGATGCTGACTGGGGAGGAGACCTAGATGAGCGTAAGTCTACTTCAGGATATGCTTTCATGCTTAGCGATGGTGCTATTTCATGGAGTAGTAAGAAGCAATCCTGTATCGCCTTATCGACTATGGAGGCTGAGTTTGTGGCTTGTTCCTGCCGTTCAGGAAGCTGTGTGGTTGAGGAGATTCCTCAGCATTTGGATGTTGTCCACACACTTCAGACCCTGTGACTATCCATTGTGACAGCATGGCTGCACTCGCTTACGCTAAGGATCCTAAATACCACGGCAGAACCAAACACATTGATGTGAGGTTCAACTTTATCAGAGACATTTTGGCGCAGAAAGAAGTGCTCCTGGAGCACATCCCTACGAGTTGTATGGTTGCGGACCCTCTGACTAAGCCATTGCTAGAGATGTTTATCTTACTCATGTTAGGGCTTTAGGACTACGTAGGTGGTGATATGTTTTTTTATGTGTAACCAGTTGAACTCATATTTTTTGGGATATTTATGCCATTAGTATTCATATTTGTTTCTATTACACATTTATGTTTACTACCTTTTGCAATGGCTTATGAAATAGAATACACAAAATAATTAAATTGATGTTAGCAGGCAAGATTGGCTCACTCACACGAGCAATCACCCTTAGCACTAGGTAGTGAGTAAGGATGAGACTAGTGACTTATTGTATTTGAAGCAATTAGAAAAGCCAAAATTATCCACTAGCTATGTCGCCTTGGTTGGAGCCAAGATGAGGTCTTGTTAGAGACCGACCATGGATATGAGAGTACCCACTTTTCCATGATGTGCCTGTTATGGATAGCCAGATGCGAGATCTCATTTGATGCCTGAGAGAAATAATTAAATTGATGTTAGCAGGCAAGATTGGCTCACTCACACGAGCAATCGCCCTTAGCGCTAGGTAGTGAGTAAGGATGAGACTAGTGGCTTATTGTATTTGGAGCAATTAAAAAAGCCAAAATTATCCACTAGCTATGTCGCCTTGGTTGGAGCCAAGATGAGGTCTTGTTAGAGACCGACCATGGATATGAGAGTACCCACTTTTCCATGATGTGCCTGTTATGGATAGCCAGATGCGAGATCTCATTGATGCCTGAGAGGCGAGCAAATAGAGAATTCGAGTTAGACGCTAGGAAGCGACTTGTGCGCTTAAAAGCGACTAGACTAAGATCTGTATAGTGTGTGAGTTTAACATCACTCTTTGGAAGAGTAACTCCACTATAACATGCATTCATACTGCATGTGCTTATCGACCCGTTAGCGAGGTGAAAGAATGGATCCCTACTTCTTCACCGTGTGAGTCGTAAAAGTCATTTTTCCCTAAATGACTTCACTTTGTGCCTTTTGTGACCTTTGACTATGTCATAAGATGAGGAGTTGATGTTCAACTACTTTGGTATGTTGCCTGCGGTCATGTATGATTCGGCTTTAAGGGACATTACTGGGAAAGCAGTCAATTGCAAATCGAATGATATAAGGGTGAAAGGAAGATCATCTAGTTCTACATCTCTGCTCTATATTCATTGTCGACAACTCACATCGCTCTTTATAGGATGCTGATTGGGTGTGAATATAATGCGGGACCTAGGAGAGTCAAACATGCTCTTTGAGGGATTAGAGATGTTTTTGGACTGATGTAGCTAGATGGGTCTGGGTACATGAGACATTATTTCTGTCTTTTTTTTTGTTGATGTCTCTATGCTGACTCATATTGAGTTTCTAGTATAGAACTCCCACATGCAGGTGTTCTCAGCGGTCGCACGGTGCATTGGCTAGTGTGAGACTGTTCATTTTTTGGAGAGATTGAGATAGAGATATGGCAATGTCATGCCGACTCATGTCCAAGTGAGAGATGTTAGAAATGGGCGCCCATGTGGCATGACCATTTCAATGCTTTGAATTTATAACTGTAACTCCTGCATTAATGGGGTTTGTAACTCCTGTCTTTATTGCAGAGGTTAATGGTGCATTAATGACCAGCCATAAAGGCTGGAAGCTTTTCCTCTCTCCCCTATACATGTATAAATTGAGACCCTTCTGTCAAGTCCAAAACATACAGAAATTTCTCATATTCTGACTCTCTCCCAAAAACAACGATCAAAGCCGTTTGCACTGTGATTTGTGTGGGTGATATTCACTGTTGTAATATCACCCCACTGCTGGGTTGACTGATCAGATTCAGGAAGCACGTGATTTACCCGCGAGATCTTTTCTATTCAGACTCTGCAGGAAAGGTATGACCATAATTTTTATTCCGCTGCGTTATACTGCTAATTTACAGGTAAATCCCCATCCACACGTGTATCACTAAATTAATGGTCAATAAAAGTTTAATTTAAACCACACAATCAGTTTTTAGATAAATTCCTGGATAGAATTCCGAGTACCATTACACTAGATAAATCCCATAAAATATCTGTTAACCCATCTACTCAGACTCACACAATTGAATTTTTGTGCTATATTATATCAGCAAAAGAAAAAAAATATGGGATTTAATGATAATTTTTATGAACTTTTACGCTATATCGAAACACTTGTCACTAAATAGTCAATAATCAGTTTCTTTTTATTTATTTATTTAGTTTTATAATGGGTTTCAATAACAAGTCTAAACTCTTCCACTCAATAAAAAATTTGACTAAAAAAAACATTACAAATAGAATTATTTTTCACAACGAATGATAAGAAATGACCATTTTATTTAACAACAATGATTGATCCCACTAAAAATATCACTACTAATAGCACTAATGCATTAAAAAAGTAAAAAAAATAAAATAAAATACAACTTCAAGACCAAAACATCACATCATTAATGACGGGACCCACTGCCACCTAATTAGTGGGAGCACTAATTAGTGCTCCCAAGCATTTTTCTTTATTTAATTACCTCTCATTCTAATGAATCAAATACAACATAAGAGAAATGGACTGTAGCTCAATCAAAATCAAATTGATACACAATAAACCCATTGCACACCAGAGACAATAAAACCCATTCATTGCATACCAATTAAAGACAGAAAGGATTCTCACACAATCACACCGATCAATCGCACGAACAGAAACTTAACCAAAATATATATATATATTAAAAAAGAAAAGAAAGAAAGACAACCATGCACTCATCATAGATGCTTCAGCAAAATGGGGCTTTGGTCCTGCAAAGCTAGATCAATGCCAGAAAGTGCTAAGGAAGACAACAAGATTAACAGGATAAACAAAAGAATTGCTCCAAAAGAACCGATCAAAGAGCCAGAGATGTGCTTGCAGGAGTTGAATTGTTGGCAGATCGCAAACCAGTTGGCGCGAGTATGCCCCTTGTGTGCTAAGTATACAACGGCAGTTGCTGCAGAGGCTCCGGCAGTCAAAAGTGTCAGCATTGCCTTGACAATTATGCGAAAAGCTCATCTTAGTAAGGTAATTAAGAAACTAAGCGTACCCAAACACCATTTTACTACTCCTTAACACAACTTAAATGGAAGAATAATCACTTAGAATTATAATTCAATTACACAAACATAAAAATTTTACAAAAAATATATTCAAGGTGAACTACGGTCATTCATTTCTAAGCAAAACATCTAAAAAGATAGCTCTTAATTTCAAAAATGTCATGGCCACATTATTATAGTTACATTTTTTGTATTTTTTCTAGATTGAAGAAATTTTGCACTGCACATTCATTAAGTGGCATATATAAGAGTGTAGTAGAAAATACCGTGTCAAAGAATATCAAGATCACCCTAGTGCCTTGTGCAGCACTCCTCGTGATGTGCAGGATGGATATCGCTAAGCAGACAACCAAGTATGCACATACCATGGAATTTGCGATCACAAAAAACCTATTAATACAAGACATACGGATAAGTTTAGTACATCTGCAAATAACACATGAACAATGCATATAATAATTTAGGTTAACAATCATATGATGAAAACAAATCCACAAAAACAAGTGAAACACACTTACGTGAATGAACCATGTAATGAAAGGAAGTGTTTTGCTAGTTGTTCCCATGGCGATTGCACTCACTAAGGTGGCCATAATTGCAATGAGTCTCAAAATGAAGTCTAGTGTGGAGACACCTCTGTTCATTCCATTTCTTGGAGTGGAGGAAGAAGAACCCCTAGAGGCTTGATCATCAAGCTCAAGAGCACCTGCCTTCTCCTTCTTAGTGATAAAAAGAGAAAAGCTATGAAGTTCTAGGGTTTTGCAAAATTAATGTATGTGCTAGAGTTGAGTGTGCTTGTAGAGAGGGGGTGGTATGTGAATTTATAGGCATGTGAAAACAAAGCAAGATGAAAGTCTTGTATGTATAATTAGTTTTTTCTGTTTGGATCTCTCGTACTCCACTATTTTTTTCACCCCCACAATCAAACGAGAAGTGTGTAAACAAACTATAATTTGTAATTAGTCCAAAACAGTAGACTCTTTATCCAAGAAGTATATTGATCTCACTGTCTAGATCAATCAGAAGTTGTATTCTGTTCACATATCTTGTTAGGTGTGCAAGTAAATAAAACCGGAGTCCAATCAAACTAGCAAAACTCATCATGTGGTAAAGAAATATGTTGGGACAAAGTGGTTTTGGACAGAGAATCCTGCCACGTGTACTCTCATGTAAAGCATTCAAATTGCATGTTAAGTTTGAAGTCTTTTTGGTGGTATGAGAGCCCACTTATCAGATCAAACCTTATCAGGTGGCGAGTACATGATGAACTTACTAAAGCTTAGCTTTTAAGGTTTGTTTATTTAGTGTTAATGTTACCTGCTCTTGTCATATGAAATTGGCAAGTAGATGATGTACTTACTAAAGCTTAGCTTTTAAGGTTTGTTCATTAAATGTTAATGTTACCCGCTCTTATCATATGGAATCATAAAATACAAAGCATGATTCTCTCTCAGCATGTTCCAACTCCACCAACTTTGCCTATTGATGACTCTTCACATATTTGGAAAGGGGCTATGACATTTCTTCTGTTGATCATATATATATATGAGCTAGCTATATATAGTAAAATGGGACAGTTGACATCTGGGTCAACCCTGATTTTAAGAACAACTTGAAATTGAGTTTGGTATAGAGAGAGATTGAGCAAATCCACTTTTGTTCCTTCCATTTTTTAGACAACCTTGGGATAGAGATTGAAGTTTGATTTCTATTTTCTTTTGGTACAAGTATAACAATCCAGGAAGTGACGACTCCTAATTAAATGCTGCCAAAATTGCATACTCATTTGTGAGGTTTTGAGTTTGACTGGAGTATATTGTGATTTTCGTGATTGTTGCACTTGTATTATGTTTGTTAATGTGTCGGTAAACAAATTAACAGATTAATTAGTTCACTGATCATTCAGATTAATGGAAAACCTATTTTAGGTCAAATTTCCCAGAAATTATACATCAGCTAATTTCCAAAAAAAAAATTCAAATACATAGCACTGACAACTGCAGCGATATTGGACATACAAAAATTGAATGGGGAAATAAACACGGATTTTGATCCTCTCCATTTCATGAATTGAATGAAATTTTCATTTCATAAGGTTGCAACACATCATCAAAGTACAAAATCAAAAAGTCTATAATTAATATTTGAAAATCCAAGACACACCGAGTTCATATGGGCAATGTACGTAAAATTTGTTAAGTTGTAACCCGTTTGTCATAATCCAACAATATCCTCAATTTTCTTATTCCACTGAAATTTTGATAAACTTCATTCTCATATGGCAATGCTCCAATTTAGATGAACTTCAATCTCATTCGGCTCCTCCATATGATCCATAGAAGGAGACCAAGATGATCCTTCCAGGATCTCGAACTGCAATTGCACAAAAATTCAAAAAGGGCAATTTAGAGCTAATGACTACTTAAAGAAAAACAGGTAAATATAAGCAAACGCATTGAGCAAATAAATAGGCAATCATGGCTTCAAACCCTTTTAACAGACATCATAAATACAAACTCTATGTCAATCATTTTGTTTAATGAATATCCATCTTTTAGGTTTTTCAGACTACAAAAAAATCCCAGATTAGAAGATTAGGCAGTTGATATATGGCAGGATATATATTACCAGATTTTTACAGGAAATCTGAACTCGACCGTTAAATACCACTTTGTGACCTCAAAAAGAGCCATGGCTTCATCATTTCCTGCATTCTACATTTAAGCAGCCACATGACCAATCACATAGTGACAGTTTCTTTAAGTTTATCCCAGGCTGTTTACATGCTTCATTGGACTCTAGAGCTCAGGCTTCCAAGGGAGCTTCGATCAAAAACATCACAACTGAACCCAAAAAAAATTGGCTCCTCAATTTTACATTGAAGAATCATAGAATATAATCAGCCCAGAACTAATCATCTCCACTAATATTATATTTCATATTTTTTCCTTATAAATCCAGCAGGGAACACGAATTAGCTCTTTTGTAGGCATTTCATGCCTCACAAAGCAAAAAGCAAGAAAAGAAAAATAAAAGGGAGAAGAGAAGAAAAAATTATAAGATTTTGTCATTTATATTTAATTATACAAAGAATACGATGTACAAGTTCCCTTGGAATGAGCACACTTGAATCATATACACCATGGACCTGATGACCAATTATAGCTCACCCAATGAAACTGGCAAAGCTCTAAAGCATGAAGTGGACTCAAATTAGTACTAAGGCAGGCACATTAAATGGAAAAAATTTTAAGTAATAACCTAAAAGGATAAGAGAGCAAACTCAGAACCAGACTTAATCACACTACGTTACTGAAGTTTGGCCTTGCAATCCTTTTTCCGACCAAATCCGCTTTCAGAAAGAAGCTTCGACAGAAAAGACCGGCTACCATTACTGCTATTCTTGTCATCGGAATTACTTAAATTGCTTATGAGAGACCAGTGAGTCTCAAAGTCTGGCTCGTAACCATTTTGCTGCATTGTTTGCAAGAGGTCTGATGCCTTACTGAGATTGCTCTCATAATAGAACCTATTAATCACAGAGCAATACATCTCTCTGGTTGGCATGTCACCTATCTGAACCATAACATTCAATAGTCTTTCTGCTTCTGTAATTCGTCCATCTTGGCAGGCGTTGTGGATAAGCACGCTCCATGCCTTGATGCTTGGCTTCATGTTTCTATCCAACATCTCAGTCAACAAATCTAGTGCTTGGTCCAATTTATCACATGTACACGAATCTTGGATTAGATAATCATAACTAGAAGAACTTGGGATGTTTGCTTTCTTCAACATTAGATTAAAAAGATCAAATGCTTTGTCTACTCTTCCGTACCAACAAAACAACTTAATTAGGTTGTCATAATTGATGCTGTTAGGAATTAGACCTTTTTGTACCATCCCGTCCAAAAATCTCATTGCTTCCTGAAGTTTACCTTGAGCAAGAAGGCCTTCAACAATGGCATTTTGAATGATTGAACCATGAATCCAACCTCTTGATTCCATTTCTTGGCTCAACTCCATTGCTTTTCCAAGCTCCCCATCACCACAGAGGCAGCTTATTATGATTCTCATACTGCGATTACTTGGCTTATGTTCCATAGACATCATAGTAGTGAGATAATGCAGGGAACGTGACACCTCCTGGCACTGAGAATATCCATACACGAGAAAATCATAAGTGACTCCATCAACTTGCAAACCCTTCTGCTGAAGTTCATCTAGAAGTGCATCCACAAACAAACTGTTTCTAGTTCGGAAGAGATAGAAAATCAAAATGTTATAAATGATGAGATGGGGAGGATTTCTTTCTTTAAGCAAAAGCTCTTTCACACTTAGTGCAGAAGAGACTCTACCCATCATGCACATAAGGCAAACCAAATTACGGTAACTAGAGATTGAAACTTTTAAATTATTCCTTATCATGATACTAAGTAGCTCCTTGACTTCCCTCAAGGTATTAGTTTGACAATACCCCTGAATAAGCACGTTGCAAGTTTCATTACCTGGAAGTAGGCCCCTCAATATCATATTCTGAAGGATATCAACTGCCTCCCCAACCATCCCCAACTTACAAAACCCTTTCATCAAAGCACAATGGACAGAAATTGAATTGGAAGAATGTTTTCTCAAAGCAATCTCCTTCAAAGCAACAGCTTTCTCAAATTTACTAGCCAAACACAGCTGATGAATTGAAAGAATGGTGGTATCCAAACAGGGAACCAAGTTCTTTGCTAGCATAAAATCAAGCACAATGAAAGCTTTTGAAATCATTTTCTCCTTACAGAAACCTTTTATAAGATGGCTATAGGCAATGTGATCCAAGACAAAGCCCTGCTTTTGAAGCTCCTCCACCAAAGCATGTGCAGTGCTTGTAAACCCTGTACTGCATAGCTTTTCAAGGACATCATGACAAGTATGCAATCTTGTGTGAGGAAATGCCACCAACATGCTTTCAAAGAGCTCAAGTACTTCCTTGGGAAGTCCTTTCTGGCATAGAAAACCCCAAAGAGCTTTACAATCCTTTAGCTTGGGTGACCATTTATCTAGACGTGCAACTTCCCAGCAATTGAGGAGCCCCGTCAGGTTTCTTTTCCTGAGTAAACCAGTTATTAAAGCAGTATGTGTCTCCATCTTGATTTTTGAATGCCTTTGGATCATGCCATCAAAAATTATCCTAGCATTGTGTGTGAATCCCTTTTCACTGAGTGCTTGGACAAGCAGATTGAGAGTTTCTTGATCAAGCTGACCAGTCAACTTTGGCATCTTCTCTAAGAGACTGACAATTGTCCCTATACTGTAACTGGATGCACAAAGCGCTTTCACTAATATTGAGAATGCATTCAAAGACAATTCTTGGCCCCACAGAACCATTTCTTCAACCTTCACAAGTGCACTTCTAAAATTTCCTTGATCACAATCCTCCAGTATAAGGGGATTAAAGTCAGGAATCAAGGAATCTTCAAGAACCTTCATCATAGTTTTCTCATATTCAATTAGGTCTGTTTCTAAATAAAGTCCATTGCCAAGATTATCGAAAAACTCTGTTTTGGAAAACCCCACATCATTGTCCCTAATCACCTTTACAGTCAATGGGTCAAGCCCCAACAACATAAATGCTTTCGATAAGGGATCCTCAAGAGAAGTGAGTCGAATCAAACCTCGCTCAGCCATCTCGCCAACCACCACTTTCACTTCATCAAACTGTCTAGCTTCACAATATCCTGCTAAAAGCACTCTGAAAGTTGACAAATTGGGTGTTATTCCTCTATCATGCATTTCATATACAATCTCTCGGGCATGTTTCCACATACCCTCCTTGAACACACCACTAATAAGAGTATTATAGGAACACACATCCGGCTTGAGGGATCTCGACAATATTTCTGACAGATGAACAAATGCATTCTTCAATTTACCTTCACGGCAACTCCAACCAATTAAAATTCCAAAGGTTTTTTCATCAGGACCAAAACCTGCTTTCTCCAATTCTTGCAGAAACAAGTTTGCTCTTTCCATACCAAAATCTCTACACAACGAAAAAATCACCTTGTTGCCAACTACAACATCAGGCACACACTCCGTTTCCACAAAAAACTTCAGCAGATCATCATAATCCTTCTTCTCACAGTACCCACTAGCAATAGCATCAAGCACTATATTACTAGGTTCCATTCCATGAGTGTGAATTTTCCTAACAAGATTTATGGCTTCCTGAACTTTTCCATCCCTGCATAGTAGTTTAATGACATTCTCAAAAATAGCAGTTCCTGCTCCACTCAATCCCAACCCCATCTCCACCATATTAACATAAACTCGAAAAGCCAATTGGGTTTCTTTCTTTCCAACCAGAAAGTCAAGAATAACACAATAAGACGACAGAGATGGGACTAAACCTTGCCCCCTCATTCGATCATAGATCGAAATAGCACTATTTGGTTCACCAGCTCCTACATACCCTTCAATTAAATTACTAAAAATTTCATTACTATCCAAAGGAATTCCTTTACTATCCATTGTGGAAAGCAAGAATTCAAACTCCCTAAACAAGCCCACTCGGACAAGCATCGTGGCCATAACCTCGTAGGACCGAGGAAGATGCTTGAAATCCCTAACTTGGTGAATAGCCCAATTAAAGACCCCCCACAAAGATTTAACCTTTTGAGCTTCAATTTCAAATTTCTGACACTCAAATTCAAAACCCAGTAATATTTCGAGGACATCTTCGGGTTTCAACTCCGAGACTCGCCAAAATTTACGGGTGGTTTCTGGGGATATAGCAGAAAGCTTGAATAGAAAGTGTTTGAGAGAAGGATTAGCCGAAGAAGTCTCACCCTTCTTTTCCCATAGATGCGAACACCTAAGGAAAACTGATTTCGCAATACCAGAGGGGTTGATTGAAGATAAATCTACGTCGTTGTCGATTGATGGTGATAATGGGGGTTGCTGAAGAGAAGTGGTAGAGAATTGATGCTTGTTGAGGAAGAGAGAGAAAAGGGAGCGAACCTGTTTGAAGTGGAGCTTCTGGGGGTGGAGGAGAGAGCAGAGAGAATGGAACATTCGGTGGCGGAGGAGAACGGCGGCGGCGGCGGCGGCGGCGGTTCTGGTTCTGGTTCTGATCGATATGAAAGACAGATGTGTGATTCGGGCGGGTTCCGATTGCCCATTAATTGTTGGGCCGAATTCTTGTTCTCGTCAATTGCTGATGTTTTTACTTTTTTTACGAGGTATCTACTAATAATACAAAAAGTTAAAAAGTTATTATCCTATTTAAGTCATATTATCTTATTTAAATCACATCACTTCTTTAACACATTACATCAAATTCAACTCAAATCTAATCTATATAAACCAGTAAGTTAAAAAGTATACTTTTTTAGAATATCCTAAACCAACACTTAATTAGGAGATGTAGAAAAAAATTTAAAAATTAAAAGAGAAAAAATAAGTAAAATAAAAAACATACTTAAATTCCATAGTTTTATTTTATTTTTTGATTTCTAAATTTTTTTTCAAATCTTCCAAAGTTTTAGAAAAAACAAAAAAAAAATATTTGACAAATTATTAAAGGACAATTATAAAAAACAAAAAAAAAACTCAAGGTTTAAACTTGTAACAAAATAAATTTTAAATTTTATTAATTGAAATTTTAAATTTTTATTTGTCAATTTTTGTTAAATAAAATTTGATGAGACAGTTTGTGATGGTAGAACAGGTCGGACTGATCTACGCTCCTTAAGTCTATGTCCGAATGACCAAGCCCACCTGAAGACTTGCATAAGAGTTCAACAGGGAACGGGGAGTCCCCCAGCGAACCCTCCGACGAGCAAGTTAGAGAGAGAAGTGGAGTGTAGAGATAGAATAGAGATAGAAAAGCTTAACCTTCTTATTGTCTACAACGTCTGCTTATATCCTTTGATAATCATTTCGTTGTCTCCTCCGACCTGTCACCTTAGCCAAAAGTCTATATTGTAACTTACCTTGTTCAGGGTGAGGGCGTGCCGTCCCGACGGAGAGGTGTTGTCGTAACAAATGCTGTGAGGGGCTACATTAATGGCGATGTGTAGTGGCAATAACTTTGCAGATCTTTGTCTGCTAATGTAGCTTGCCCTTTACCTAGCACGTGTCTAAATATCATTGGTCCTTCAAGTCATGTTGACTTCCAGCTGTGCTGGGCCTTATCAGTTGGGTTATGTATTGGGCCCTAAGTGGTAGGCTTGGGTTGTTTATAGTGGGTTATGGCCTACCCACGTCAGTAGTCCCCCATTCCCAAGTGCAGCTTTAGTTCAACGAAGAGAATAATGAGGAAGATGGGAGTTGAAGGTCGCGTGAAAGGAACGACCGACCAGAGGTGGCCGAGTGGAGGGACCGACCGTGAGGAGGGCCGACCGCGAAGGGTAGCCGAGTGGAGGGATCGACTATGAGGAAGGCTGACCACAAAGGGTAGCCGAGTGAAGGGACCGAACATGAGGAGGGCCGACCACGAAGTGTAGCCGAGTAGAGGAACCGACCATCAGGCCGACCGAGAAGGGTGAGGTGGCGGGGTGCGGAGCTCGAGAGGCGATGGGTCACGTGATGACTTGAAGTGGAAAAGACAAGGTAGGGGAAGGGGGCAATGAATCGTGGTCGTACACGTGGCAGCATCTCATGGTGGGGGAGGTTAGACGTTGGCCCAGAAGTGAAACGATAGGTCATTATGGGTGTTGAAAAGACAATTTTGGTGGATGGTTGAAAATTTTTCAAACTGGCGAAAATTAATTGTGACCCCTGAAATACAGGCAAGCCTTGGGCTTTTGGTATTATACGTTTTACCTACCTTTTTTTGAAAAATCAAAACACTCCAAGTATTGACTCCTTCGTTGCAAGTGATACACCCTTGCAACATTTTTTGAATTTCCTTGCGCCCGCATCTGAAGCTATTCGTAGACACACCACAGAAATGCCCAAAAAGAAACTGCAAACGCCAGGGTTGATCCATTGGGGGACGACGACGCGGTGGATTTGGCAGAGCAATATAAGACGGAGAGGCGAGTAGGAAGTGAGGGGGAGCTGTCAGGGCGACCTCGTTTGTCCACAATAATGGCGGCGCCGACGCCAATCAGTCAGGTGGAGCCAGATCACTGGCATACGAAGGCCGATAAGTCGATTATTACCACGAAGGAGCTGGAGGGTATGCGGGAGAAGTACCAGATTCCCGCCGAGATAGAGTTGAAACTGCCAGAATCGAATGAGAAGGCATCCGACATTCGACCAAGGGAATTCACCATATACGAGGAGGCGCTAAAGGGGGGTTTGAGGTTGCCCCTACCCCGGATAGTGGTGGACGTGTTGAACCGGTTGGAGGTAGCTCCAGGCCAACTGATGCCGAATGCGTAGAAAATCTTGTTGGCCTGTGCGAGCGCGTGGCCGAAGGTGAACGGGGGGGCTGAGATGATGGTGGATGAGTTTTTTGCATACTACAAGGCGTCGGGACAGCAAAAGACTTGGGTCACTTTGCAGGCGGCAGCAGGGAAGGGGCTGGTGGCGGGGTTGCCGTCATCGATAAAGGGGTGGAGGCCGCAATGGTTCTATGTGTCTGCCAACAGAGGGGTTGGGGTACGCACAGTGTGGAAAGTGCCCCCTAAGTCTGTGGAGCCAAAACTAGGAGCAGCGGCAGAGGCAAGAGTGAAGAGGGTGAAAGAATGGAGGGAGAAGAAGGGCACCCGATGGGACGAGCTTGTTCAGCCGTCCGCCTTGTTTGCGGCAGGGTTGGGTCCTCAGCCGATCGGTGGAGACTTGGGACCGACGGAGTTAGAGGCGAGAAGAAAAGCGCAAGAGGCTGAGGATATGACCATCCTCGCCAAAACCAGTAAGTTCAAAGAGTCTCAGGCAGACCGACCGCCGAAGTCGATCGCGAGGGAGAGGATCTGACCACGCCCCAAACCCCTAGGGGAAAAGGACTTAGGTGGATTTGAGCCACGGCCGCCCCCAGTTGATCCTTTGAAGGAGAGAGCATACGAGGAGATGAGGGGTGTGGTAAAAAAGAAAAAGAGATTGAGAATGAGTGAGGGGAAGCCTGCCTTGAAGAGGAGGAAGGAGACGACGACAGAGCAGACTCCCTTGGCGGGAGAGGCAGAGAGGACCCCTGAAATGGGGTTGGAGAAGGCGGCCAAAGAGGGAGAGAGTGGGGCGACTGGCCTTGGGGAGCAAATGCAAAGTGGCGAGGTCGGCGCTGAGCCAAGGGTAGAGCCCAAGAGAGAGCCACAACCAAAGGAGGGCCTGGCACCCCAAGGGAAGGGAGAGAGGCCGGGGTTGAAGACCGCCTTCTACCACGTCCCTGCGGTGTCCCGGCGAGTAGGAGGGGAAGGGAGGGAGCCAGGATGGCTACAGACCGTCTCTTGGGGGTGGTGGAAGACGCAGCCGTTCGCTCGGTGGCTTGTTACACTGAAGCTGAGCTGATGAAGGGGTTGTGCTCAGCCTAGATGGAGGCGGCTACCTTAGCAGGAGCCCTGTTGAATAAGGCGGCGGTGGCGAAGGGCGAATGGAGGAGGGGGAGGGAGAAATTGGGGGAGGTGGAAGCCCAACTTGAAAATTTCAAGAAGGAGAGCGTGGGTTGGAGGAGGGCTGCGCGGAGTGCGTGTGCCAGGAGGTTGGAGGAGGCATAGAAAGCGAAGAAGATGGAAGTAATGGCGATCGTGCAGCGCAATATTACTGCTCGAGCCCATGCTGAGCTGCTCACGATCAAGTTAGAGCTAGAGGACGATCGCCGCAAGGTAGTGTCACTCAGTTCCAGCTGGCTAGCGAGTAGAAAAAGCTGGGGGATGCTCAAAATGCCTGCACGGTCGCCACCGAGCGGTTTGAAGAGGCTATGACCAGCAATGAAGAACTGCGTGCCCAGCAAATCAAAGAAAATGATGAGGCAGACCTGAAGATTGCTGGGCTGCAGAAGGAGCTAGAAGATGAGCATGCAAAGACGATGGAGGAGAAGGGGAGGTTGGAAAAGGAGTTGGCGGAAGAAAAAACCAAGGCCGCCTCTGAAAGGGCAGCATACCTCGATCTGTATGTCGCAGCAGTAGAGCAATTCAAGGGGTCTGCTGAATTTCAGATGGCAATCGATGTCGTGGTCGCCAGCAACTTGGCAAGAGAGGTGTCTGGGGGCCGGGCCCGTCGGGAACGACCACTGGGGGCAGGACTGAAGCAGAAGGTATTGAGAGCTTCCAGCGATCGGACTTCTACAAACATGAAATGGCTGAGTTCTGGAATAGTGGCTGGAAGATGTTCAAGCGAAAGGCAAAAGAACTGTTCCCAGACTTGGACCTTAGCAGTGTAAGGATTGATGAAGACGACGTGGCCCAGACCCCTCTAGATGAGGGCGTTGAAAAAGAAGACCTTGTTTCAAGTGAAGAAAAGTGACTAGTGTGGACAAAACCTGTACTTAGGGTTTTGGGTATTTATTGTGCTTTAGGTTGTACAAGTTTTTTTTTTTTTTTGAATTGCTGTAATGAACTTATGTACAAGTTTGTGAATAAATAAAATTTGAGTTGTGTTTTCATTCCATTATTTTTGCTTGTGCAACTGGAATGAATGAGACTGGTGATTTGTGTATGAGGCTTGTGTAAGGGAAACTCAATGCAAAGCCAAGGTTGAAATGTAAGAAAAACTGAATACAGAGTAAAGTTTAAGAAAAACTCAATGCAAAGTAAAGTTGAACTTGTAATAAAAACTCCATGCAGAGTGAAGTTAAAAATGTAATAAAATTATAAGTTTGTGTTTGCCATACTGCTGCCTTTATTTTGGTGAGTCTGAAGTGAATGAGGGTGGTTTATTCAAGTTAGGCTTTATTTGTAAGGAAATAGTAAGAAAATAATCTGACTTGTAAAGGAAACATGTAACAATGTCAAAGATATGGAGTTTCAAATTATGAAAAAATGGAATTGTAAATCATGTTGCAAGAGTGTTGGTAAATAAAAGATAAGTTTGGAATTTGACTAAGTGAAGAGTGGTGTAAAAACATGGACCTGAAATTTTGACTAAGTGTGTCTACTAATGCCACAAGCATGAAGTTTGCATGAATGGCCTTGACCGAGCTCTGCATGCGTGCTCAGTTGGGGTTAAGTTATGATTAACTGACTCTGCAAGTAATTCAGTAGCTTGAAGTAACTCAATCTGGCTGAGGCTGTGTAAGCTC